AAATGGCGTGTTTTGGACACGTTACAAGGTACGGCAGCTGTGCAAGACCAAGGCGAAGGTGGACGTAGGACAGGACGCCAACGCAAATACTGTTTGGATAATGTCAAACAATGGACATATATGACTGTACCAGAATTGCTGATGGCTGCCGTTGATAGACCATTGTGGGGAAGATTCAATATGGCTTCCACATTCGGATCCCCCGCTAAGATTACAAAAGTCAAGTCGATAATGATGATAATGCTGATGATATGTGTGTGTTCGCGTGTCCGTGTGTGTATGTCTTAGTGTGTGCACACAGAGAGAGACAGAGAAACAGAGACTGTTAGATCAAGAATTTAAATGAAAGTGAAAATTACACTGTGCCTTGTAAAATCAGATACACAATATTTTATAAGCACGACATTTACAAGGATCTGTACTTAAATTGTATGAAACTTTAAAATCTCTCTATTGACGTCATTGTGTATTAAGCAACTAATATATATATATATATATATATATATATATATATATATATATATATAGCCAGACAAGCAACTCTTCATAAGCATTTTGGTTCTCACTAAATGCAGTTAAATGCACCGAAACGCTGTTGCATCTTTGTAGTGAGTAAATTGTTTTAGTTTATATGAAAAAACTAATATATATATATATATATATATATATATATATATATATATATATATATATATATATATATATATATAAAATGAAACAAGCTTATAGAGTCCCCCATTTACTATGCAGCTAAGCTCCTGGCTACCGGAATCTCCTCTGGTTGTTTTTATGAATAAATATTTTCATAGACGCCGACAATTTTTTTTTTCAGTTTAGCCGGAAATAGGAGTTTTGACCATGATGACCTTCGATGTCACTACGTTGTCACCATAAGTAAATTTATGGTCAACACATTTCCGGTTTGGCTGAATTTTTTAAATCTGAAGGATAAAAATCTATCTGTACAGTTAACTTGGCTCATGATCACCAACGAATCAAGTCATCATTAATTTTTAGCCTCCACTGACCAGACATTGGCTGGTCATAAGATGCATAGAAACCAGTAATCCTTGCCTTTATTGTAATAAATTCTGATTCTTTTTCAGGGTGAAGAAAATCGTAGCTCTCCACAACTTCCTGTCCTTTGTAGCTCTTAATAAACTTTGTCTTTTTGTTATCTCTTCTAAACCTTGTTCTGCTAACCATTTACTCAAGCTCATTGTTCTTTTTCTATGTGCCGTGTCCCTTCAGGACGTAGGTGATCTGGCTCTCCACAACTTCCTGTCCTTTGTAGATCTTAATAAACTTTGTCTTTTTGTTATCTCTTCTAAACCTTGTTCTGCTAACCATTTACTCAAGCTCGCTAGATAGGTTATACGTTGTTTTTCTCTGTTCCTCTTGCATTCAATCTGTCCTGTGAGTATTATATTTTCCACGCCCTCTTTTCTCATTATGTTCCCTATAAAATTTCAATTGTCTCTCCCTGATGTTAATTAGAGATGTTCCTTTTGTTCCAATTTTCGCTAAAACTTCGTCGTTGTTCAGTCAATGGTATTCTCAGCATCTTTCTATTATTTACGTTAAAGTTGGCGTATATATAAAGATGGAGGCGTGTTAAAACGGAAATAGAATGGATGGACTTTCTTGGTGGATGCTAAGCTCATCAAGGAATAACTAAATATTTGGAGGACCAACTTGACGTGTTAAAAGTGTTTTCTATGGAGACATCTGAATTAGTTGAAAGCTTTCCCGACAGCATCTCAATCTGGCTATCCTGTGATGGCTTGGAGTCTACAAGATTTAACTGGAGATAATTAGTTAACTATTCAAATACTGATACTCCACTGGTGTGTTTATGTTATATGAACACAGAAAGAGAATGATCTATTCGATAATAGATTTTTCTGTAGACAGATTTAAGCTAATTTGGACAAGAGTCTCAGGTCATTCAAATCAAGGTCATTCAAATCAAGTTCACAGTGAACAACTCACATGTCTAGTTCGCTAACCAATGCCTTATGGATAATATCTGATCAACTTTCGATGCGATTTTATCTTAAAAAAAAAAAAGATAACGCTTCAGGAAAAGTTGCCTCTGTCGTAGAGATATTCTCCCTAACTTTATGAACGTCACTTCGCAACAGACTACAAGATTCACAGAAGGAAGCAGTTAAAATATCTGGGACAATTAATGAGGAAAGAGGGTTTGGATAATCTCACACACATAATATAGATAGATAAAAGTAAAAACTTAGATTTGAAGAGTTTAAGATCTTAGTGGTCCGGGAAGCATTCTCTGATAGGAGTCTCTTTCACAAAGTGAAGGCAATGGAGAAGGATCTGGCTGGATAGAACTTCATCTCTACTAATGGAATACCAAGGGAATTAGGATGAATCGATTCAATATATGTGACATGGAGGGTTGGATATGTAAAGGTCTGAACTGCCACAACGAACGAATGTCAACAACTGCTACAACAAAATTGTCTAAATATTTCCT